TTTTTTTTTTTTTTTTTTTTTTTTTTGTTTTATATATCTTTTTTTCTTCTGAAATTCTCCAATTACTACAATGATAAAAAAGCAGAATCATAGTTCGTGTACACAACTAAAACAGTAAGCAGAGTTAGAATGAGCATGTTGACAACTGAAAGACATGGTGGTGGTGGTGCAATATTCACCCCCCCGCCACCACCGAATATCATACCGAAATAGTCACCACCGCCATCGCTGCCACTCGAAGTCGAACTAGAGGAGCTTTCGTCTCCAGGATAAGAGTAGCTCTGTCTATTCTCCCTACACAATTGAAATTGGAACAAAGTTTTAGTTAAAACTGATTCCTATTCAAATGATTCGACTCTGATTTAGAAGACACAACCTCGACATTATAGTTAGATAGTTCGGTTTGAGTTTAATATCCTACAAATTCTGAGGGTCGAGAATAAAACGATCAACAAAGCATCCGAATCTCTCTAATCGCTATTGGTTCACTAATTTCACAATCACATAATGAATGTAACAATAAAAGATGTAAAAAAAAAAAACTTGACTTGTTAGATTTCTTTAATTTATTTTAATTAGCTTCGAATATAATTTTAAACTAAATTTGAATAATAATAATAGTAATTATAAAACTCATATATGTAAATAAAATAGTAGCAAAAAATAATAATTAATAAAAAACAAAATTAAGAAAGCTACAATTTTTAATCCACTTTTTAGGGTCCCACCATTTCCAAATAATATAAAATTGAAGTTGATATGTAGGGCCCACCATTTCCAAAGAGAGTGGGCCCTAGAAGAAATGGCTGGAAAGCAAGAACTTGATATATATATATATATATATATATATAAATATATTAATTTAATGAAAAAACCCCACTTGCCCCAACTGCTTCTTTTCTCTGTCATCACACACACACACATGCACTTACTCTTCCCCCTTTTACCCTTTTTATGCTAACAACTTAAAAAGACAACTAATTTTTTAGTTTTTCTTTATTAAATCCATAATGACAACTCTACCCCTTACAATTGAATTAATATTACTCAAAAAAAGAAAGAAAACAAAAATTATTTAAAGAAGCCTTTAAAATGTAGCTGATAATTTTACTATTTTGAATTAGTATCCAATAATGCAAATAAAAATTTATGAAATTATATCCAATTATTCAAAGTGTTTGGTAATTTTACTCTCTAATTTTCTTTTAAATATGGGAATATTATTTTATTATAGAGAGACCAACATTATTTGATCTCTAATTCTCTTTAAATTGATGACATTAATGGGAAAGCAATGGGTTCCTTTTCCAATAAAATATATGAGTGAGCGGTTTTCAAGGGCCTAGATTCTCTCAATTTTAATTTTTTTTAAAAGCAAGGGTATTTTGGTAATTTCATACGAGAGAAAAGTACCTGGCCCCGCCGAAGACACCGGCGTTCAGTGTCAGGCGATCGACAAGAGCGGCGGATTTGGGCGCCACACTCGACGCTTTAACGTACATGTTGCTCACTCCTTCCCCGGACGGCACAAAAAATGCTCCATTTACCATTATGTCCCCCTCCGTCCTCCAGTTCCACTCCGACCAGTCCCCCGCGTTTGTGTCCACGCGCTTCGTCACCTGCACACCAAAACGGCACCGTTTCACTACTTGCACTTTTCCTCACAGCCAATAATTATTCCCACGTGTGAACTGTAGTAATTTTTTTAATAAAGTCCAAAACGTCAAGACTGTGGTTGACGACTGTCCCGTCAAATCACCGCTTTAAAATTTTTTTTACTCATGCCCTTTTACTTTTGATATTTTCAGTTCTGCCCCTTTCTTTATAACAAATTACTGTTTATGCATTAAAAAATTATAAAATAATTTGAAAATTAATACCCTAAACATAGGTTTAAATAAACAAAAATTTAAAATTTCTCCATACACAAAATAAAAGTATTTAGTTAAAAAAATAAATTTTAATTAATAAAATGATAAATTAAAAAAAAAAACTAAATTAATGATAAGTTAAAATAAAAAAACTGAAAATCATTTAGAAATCATTGAGGATATTTACCTTAATCCATCTACCTTTCCTATCAATAATTTCCTTCATCGGCGCGTCCCTAAAACGCGCCGCCGAACTGTATTAAAGGGTGGATAAAGAGAGAGAATAACGTTAACGTACCTCCTTCGCGTTGGGATTCCCCGGAGCAATATACCGATTCCCTTGGCTGTTGATCGTCGGACTGCCGCTTCCGCCGATGGCGTACATCTCCCACGATCGGAAGTCGTTGTTAACGACATGAAAGTATCCTCGCCGGCACCGGGGCATCCTCTGAACGAGCTTCTCGCCGAACAAATTAAACGCAATAGTCACCTGCATAGCCGAATCCGGCGAGTAGCCGTCGTCGTGTCCTAGCAGCATCACCTCGTCGTGGTGCGAGAAGTAGTTGTTGGAGATCGTGATTCCGGTGGATCCCATTATGGCGTCGATTAAGCCATCGGTACAGTACGAGAGTGAGCAATGATCGATCCAAATGTTACGCGAGCTGAAGATCGAGATTCCATCGCCATCGGACTTTCCTCGGTATCCGATGTGCGTGGGGGACGACCGGATGTTGGTGTGGCCGGTAGAAATACAGTGATGGATATTAATGTTATGGATGATTACATTCGAGATGTACTGAAGTGTGACGCAACCGCCCCCGGTGATATGGACATTGGCGCCGCGGCCATCTAGGGTTTTGTAACTGTTCATCATGAGTTCGTATTTGAGTTTGATTGTCATATCTGCAGCAAAAACAATCCAGAGAGGTTCGTCTTGAACCACGGCGTAGCGGAGAGTTCCAGGGCGGGGGTTCACGGGGTCGGAATCGGAGGAATCTGTAACAACATAGATCTGACCTCCCTTCCCTCCCATGGCGTCTCGGCCGAATCCAATGCCGCAATCGGCGAGTCGTTGGCGATTGGCTTGCCAGTTCGAGTCACAGCGCCAACAATCGTCGATAGGGTTTCCAGTTTGACAGGAACTGGATTGATCTTTCGAATTAACGGACAGCATTTGCCTCCGGGAAAAGGAATCGTTCACAGCCCTGCAAGAAACAAAGATATCCATGGATTAATGTGGAAGGCCATGGAAATAGCCCCCCCTGCAGCTTAAGCAATACAGTAATGCACAGCAAGTGTTTGATAAAATGCCAACAAGAGCAAAAGTGCAGAAAACCCCATTTGGAGCATTTCTTGGTGAAAACCAACAAAACTGAGACAAATGTGTTACCTCTGAACTTGATAAGCAACAGTTTCAGGATCTGGAAGAAGATGAGGAACAGTGAGATTGAAGGTGAAAGTAGCCATGGCAGGAGGAGGCAGAGAGGAGCTCAAAACCCAGATGAAGAACAGAATGCCAGTGGTAGCAAACATATCTGCTTCTAAATTTGGTTGGGAACTGCTTAATCTGAACAAGAACAAGAACAAGAACAAGACTCACTTTCAGGTACCTTTCTCTCAAATTCTCAAGAACAAATCTACTTAACTATGAATGAATCTGCAAAACAGCTTAGGAAAATGAGAAATCAAAAAGAAAGAACATGGGAGAGTGACCCAAAAACCAGGTAGAATGGATGGAAGAAGAAGAAGAAGAAGGAGAAATTGAAAGAGAAATGATTCTCTGTCCTCCTTCCTCTGTCTATTCCCTCTCCTCCTCCTCCTCCTCCTTGGCCCTTTAGGTGTGTCCTTTTGCAGCCTGTTGCTGACATTTTTCTACCTGGTTTTTGGGTCACCCAAATTTGTTCTAGGGATATGAACACATTATTCTAAAAGGGTATAATCCAGAGACACAGACAATGAGAGGGAAGATGGGCTTCTTCCTTCTTTCTCTGTCTTTCTATTAAAAAAATCTGTGCTGAGCTGAGCTGAGCTTGAGATGAGACACTCTGTTTCAATGTTCTTCTGCATTCATAACTATACTTTATTTTGATTCTTCATAATATCTTGTGCCTTTTCCTTTTGTGTTAAATATTGTGTTTTTGGAGCACGATGACTAGTTGTCAACTTCTCCTTACCCGAATAGTTATATTAACCGCGGTTGTTACTTTTGCTTTGTATGCTATGTAACACCTGTTTTCAAACTCTCTTTCGAAAATCTCTTTGCTCTTGTTTTTCAAAACCTTCTTCTTAAATCGAAGCCAGAAACTTAAGCATATGTTGACTGACCGTTGACCCGCAAACGAAGTGGCTTAACTCACTCGATGTTGAAAAGTGAATGCCAAAAATAAATAAATAAATAAAAGCCATGAATGAATAAATAAATAAATAAACAAAAATATCTCAAATTAACTAAATCTAAAATAATAATAATATAAAAAATATTGATTTGGAAAATATATAATGGATGGAGGTTGTAATATCTCATTGTCAATTATTTCACCATCTAATTAATTCCATCAACTTGCTTCAAATTAAAATATATTTATATTTTTTTAAATAAAAATTATTTCATGATAGCAATGATTATGAATTTATAGGTATACAAAAGTCAAAGAACATTAATAACAAAAAATATGTTTTTTATTAAACGATGAATTTTTTTATTTTTTTATTTTATTTTATTTTTTTCATATTAGGCCTATCAAGCCCATTACGGCCCAAGATGAAAGCCCATCGCCCCATTAGAAACGTTGGGTTAGGGGAAGCCGTACGAAGTTTTTGAAATAGGTTCGAACTTGCTTCGGACAGCCGTTGTGCTCCCGGTAACATTTTACAAATTTACCCTCAATTTCATATCAATTTCGGAATTCATTTCTCTTTTCAGTCTTCTATCGGCAGTGGAAACTCTGTCCTTTCCAAGATCCGTTGTTCGAGCAGAAAGATTTTAGGATTCAACCATAGAGTCTCCAACATGGAGTGTAACACTTCGCTCGATTCGAAGAACTACGGTGTTGGAGGTACTTTTTGTTTTTGATTTCTTCCATTAGGACTAACTTCTTGATCTGTTCCCTCTATTGCTTTCGGATTTTGCAGATTCCTTACTGTTATTTTTCCTGAAAATCATTCGATTTCGATGAATTGAGGTTGCTTAATTGGAATCCTAATTGTATTTCGTGGTTTATATGGTTTAACAAGGATTCTAGGTTTTGAATGCACACCATTTACTCCCGTTGTTTTTGCTATTTAGGGTTTTTCATCTGCATGCGTTTTTGTAGATTTTTGGGAGAATAATTGAATTTGGATGAACTACCCCGTGCTGTTCTTAGTAAATTGAAGCTAGTCATTCACTAGTTTAGTATGCATTGAAAGGGTTTGTTGTTATTTAGCTAGTCAAAACATGGAAATAGCTGGAGTGAAAACTATGAAGAGCTCTAAAGTAGGAGGCTCCCAGAGGAAACGACTTTCCGATATAAGCAACTTGAAGGAGCAACCTATACTGCAGAAGCGAGATACGAAGCCGCAGTCTAGTTTGCTTAAGACCTATGAATATGTTGATAAGTTACAGAAGGTACTTCTGATGTGGTCTCTAAGCTGCGCAGTTTGATTGGCTCATCTTATTGATGATGCTTTTATTTTTCTTTCCAGGAAAATATGGCACTTACGAAAGTTCTTGCAGAAAGAAAGTATCCTTTGTGACAGTCATAATCCATAACAGAAATAGTCTTTGTTTTTCTGTTCGGGCTTTATATATACATACGCACGTACGTACGTACATATATAATCGATGAACTTTCTTTTTCCTTGATGAGTATTTTCGAATAGTCGTATAATTGAGATAAGTGGAAATGAGTTAGAGACATTGAGAACCAATTTTCAGAAATTGCAGCAGCAGAATCTGCAATTCGCCCAAGCAAACAGTCAAATGTTAGCGGTAATCTAGCACATGCATCTTTGTGTCTTGAGTTTCCATTTTATCACTTGTTCATGGCAAGCTAGTATCCTAGAAAATAAATTTTAATAATCTTCTACACTTGATGACATGGTTCTTTCTATTTTTAGGAACTTAATTCAGGTAAAGAAAGGGTGAGTGAAATTTCTATCATCTGAAATTTGATTTAGTTTGCACATTAAACCCCTTAATTTTCTGCAACTGAAAGTAATTTCATCTTGTGCAGCTGAAAGCCCTTCAACACGAGCTTGGATGTAAAAATGGCATTCTTATGTCGAGAAAACTTGATTTGGAGGTTACTTTAATTTTTATTAGTCATTTCAAATTCGCAATTAAGTGCTTATTGATTATTGACTCCGAAACTTTTCATCCAGAGAAAAGGAAAATCAGCGACATTTCAGCCTGGAGGGGTACATAAACAATACTGTTGTTATTCTTTAGTAAATATTTCTTATGCTACTTACCCTTTTCTTTTCTCTACCTCAAGGTAGGGACCGCCAAATCTAGTGAGGCAGCGGAATCTATGAATACAAAGCAGGATAATAGGCCTTGCAAAACTAACAGGCGGCGACAATCCAGACAAGAATGTAAGTGCCAGTGCACAAATTATCTTCAGCTTCAGGATATGAATATTGTCATTTTCTATAACCAATTCTCTTCTGAATGCAGCTTTTGGCACTTCAGTTCTTCAGACAGAGGTTCAGAAGGTTGAAGGCAAAAGGTCTGTTCATGGATATGTAATTGCTATATTTGGACTTATCTGATTATATTGCATACCAAAGATAAATCGAGTATGATCTTGATTGAATTTCTAACAGGCCTAGAAGGCAATCTGCAAGATTCAAAACCGAGGAACCAGTGGCTGCAAATGACATCTTGGAGACAGATAATTCCAATTCTAACAATTCTTCGCAATGTAAAGAGACTTCAGTTCGTCGAGCAGAGGTTCAAAAGGTCGAAGGCAAGAGGTCAGTTCATGGATATTCAATTGCTCTATTTGGGTTTTATGTTTTCAGGATGTGTTCAAAATGATGTAGCATAAATACATATTGTTGAACATGAGCTTCATTGAATTTTCAATAGGCCTTGTTCGAGAAGGCAGTCTGCAAGATTGAAAATTGAGGAACCGGTTGCTACAAATGACTTATTAGGGATAGAAAATTTCAATTCTACCGATGCTTCTCAATGTAGAGAGACTTCAGTTCTTCAAACAGAGGTCCAGAAGGTTGAAGGCATAAGGTCTGTTCGTGGATATTTATTTGCCTTATTTGGCTTCACATTTTCAGAAAATTTTCCAGATAATATAGCATACAAGAGATATTGAACATGAACTTCATTGAATTTCTTAGCAGGCCTTGTCTGAGAAGGCAGTCTGCAAGATTTAAACTCGAGGAACCAGTGGCTATCAAAGACTCACTTGATACTGTAAATTCCAATTCTACCAGTGCTTCTCTATGCAAAGAGATCGTATGTGAAATAAAAATTGTTCCAACTTCGTCAGTAGAAACAAAAGATAATGGCAATTCTACTGATAGATCTGAAGTTCAGGAATGTCGGAGGACATCCGTTGGTAGGCCGTTAAGGCGAGCTGCTGAAAAAATTCAGTCCTACAAGGAAATTCCACTTAACGTCAAGATGCGCAGACCGGTATGATCACTCCTAACCCAAATTTCCTTTTCCTGTTGTCAAGTGAGGGGACAATTGTGATAGATATTGAAGGATAAGACTGCACCACTAGTTTTGTATCTGTATCCTTTGATAGCATTAGATTGTGCACTTACTGTAAAAAGCTCGAGTTTGCTTCCGACATTAAGACTAGACGATGAAATCAACCATTCACAACACCTTTTAGGCTAAAATGACCAATTAGTTAGGACCGTAAAAGTGCTTCCTTGAAACAACACTATTGTTTTGTCTTGGCAAATTAAACTGATGCATCTAGTTGGATGTAGCACAATTGTTTATACTTCAAGTCTAGCTCTTTGCCTATCTGATGCTTGAATTAGTCCAAGGCTCTGTTTTATCACACTTATGCTGGCTTTTGCACATCAAGCCAATCTTCATTCTTGTCCTTCCTTTCCTTTTCTCTGTTTTACTGTCTCCCTGCATAGCCTTAGTTCTTATCTGATATGAACTTCCAGCAGCGAGATCCCACATCAATTGGAGACGGGAATGAGTGCCAGCGAGGACGATGGGCTCCGAAGGGAGCGGATTGTGAGATCCCACATCAATTGGAGACGGGAATGAGTGCCAGAGAGGACGTTGGGCTTTGAAGGGAGCGGATTGTGAGATCCCACATCGATTGAAGAGGAAAACGAAGTATTCCTTATAAGGGTGTGAAAACCTCTCCCTAGAGACGCATTTTAAAACCTTGAAGGGAAGTCCGAAAAGGAAAAGTCCAAAGAGAACAATATGTGTTAGCGGTGGACTTGTACTGTTACAACATCTCTAAACTCTAAATTGATCAAGCTGCACTTAGATATTATCTCTGACATGCATATTCTTTTGACAAAATGATGGGTCCTAGCTTGTTAAACCTTCAATGGGTAGACAAAAAGAAAAGGGGTACCAAGAGAATGTACTAATTCATTCGTGAGTGTTTTAGTCTGCTCTCTTAAACAGTTGATTTTTCCTCTTTTCATATTTCATATTAGATTTCTTCCCAGCTAATTTGCCTCCGAACTCTTGTTTCGATCGGTTTCCTTCTTCGACCGTTTGGAGCTCTAATCATCCCAAGTCAGAATCAGTAGTAGCTCCAGAGGACCAACCTACCGTTATATGGTAAAATAAGCATTGTTCTTTCAGGCATAGTCGAGTATTTGAAAAATTCACCTGCTCTCACATGCTAAAGAAGATGAAGACACACTATCCCAAAAGAAAAAGGTGGATTTTATGTTTCTATCATTTTCTCCTTCAAATCCTCCTCCAGTGTTTCAATTTAGTATACCTATTGTTCTTCATCGCTGATAGATCGTAAAATTAGTCGAACCTTACATTTAAACGAAGAAAAAACTTCCGTTCCTCTCCCTATCAGTCTCATTACTTTGTTCCTTCACCTTTGTACTTACCCACTCACTCATCAATCACGGTATTCAGCTGACTTATACTGAAAAGAGAAGTTTCTAATATTTCACCAAATTTCTTAGAAGTCGGAAGAAATTTCGTTTTTCTCTCTCTCGGATACTTCCTTTTTCCTTCAATTTTTTTTGTTAAATTCATTAAATACCATGTCATGTAAGCTTTATCTTCACTAATTTTAGCATTTATTAATTTATATTTAGCACTTCTTTTAATATTACTTGTCCATACTATTGATAGTCTTGGTGTTTGTTTGTGTGTTTTTTTTTTTTTTTTTAAAAAACAAAATAATTCAATGATTGTTTTGTCAAAAACTCCCACCAACTGTTTGTAAAAATGCCTGTGAGAATGAGAAGCCATTGTTATGTCAAAAACTCCCACCAACTGTTTGTAAAAATGCCTGTGAGAATGAGAAGCCATTGTTATGTCAAAAACTCCCACCAACTGTTTGTAAAAATGACTGAGAATGAGAAGCCATTGTTATCTCAAGAACACCCACCAACTGTTTGGAAAAATGCGTGTGAGAATGAGATGCCATTGTTATCTCAAGAACTCCCACCAACTGTTCGTAAACATGCCTGTGAGAACGAGATGCCATTGTTATCTCAAGACCCCCCCTCAAGTGTTTGGAAAAACGCCTGTGAGAAGCCATTGCCACAGAAAGGCAAGCTTCTACAGGCAGTGATTGAGGCTGGCCCCCTTCTCCAGAATCTCCTCCTTGCCGGGCCATTGCCTCATTGGCAGTACCCGCCACTGCTCATCGACTCAAGCGACATCCCACCGGTGATCATCTCATCTCGCCCTTCACGGCCCCCAGCTCAAAGCTCTGCCATTGACATTAGAAAGAGAACCCATTCACATCTCTCTGATGTCTCTCAACATTCCCAGAAGCATCAAAAAGTGGCCCAGTAATAGTCCTAGTAGCTCTGATCCCTCATTCTCTATACTTCTTTTCAATACCCATCTACTGAATTACTGTCGTCTTTTTTTCTTTGTGCTGTGACTGTGAGATGTATAATCTGGGTGAATTCTCATTCACTTCGTTCCAAAAATCAAATACAAAGTACTTTGAACAAATTTTTGTGATTCTACAAATGCCATTCATTTCCATTCTGTCTGAACAAGAATGACAGAACCACCACCCCGGGCTTGTTTATGGATCATCTTGTGAGATCCCATATCGATTGGGGAGGAGAACGAATCATTTTTTATAAGTGTGTAGAAACCTCTTCCTAACATACGTATTTAGCTTAAAGAGGACAATATCTGTTAGTAGTGGGCTTATGCCGTTACATATACCATATTACTTTTATCACTAATGATTTGCTGCTGAATGTTGATGCTTAGAGTTCATTTTGCGCACTTTTTGGCCAATATCTTGGGCCCTTTTGCTGCTTTTGCTCTGTTTTAAGAGATGAAGTATGATTACTACATACAGGGGAAAGATAGATCTTCACAAAGATTCTGCTTTGTCTGTGTAGAATTAGGAGATGCCCACCATTCATAGTGGGTCTGCTGTGGCTTTAATTAGTGCAGCAATCTTTGAAGATTCCCCCTTCATTGGCAAAAGGGGACACTTAACCCACCATTTGGATGGTTAAAGACACCAAAAGTTCATTCAAACTCAATGAAGTTCTTGAGATTTTATGTTGGTGTTGGGAAGTTCTTTATATTTTATTAAATGACAAGAATTTGTCACCCAATTATTTATATTTTATTAAATCTCGTGAATCTATTATGATTCATTCGTTAAAGTAACAATTCAGGCCCTAAACTTTATTTTGTAATGATTTACAATTTATTCCTCGCTCTCATGATTCCTAATAATTTAATATCAGCATATTTGTAATAATATAGTTTATATTGTGAAAAACACAATTAAGATCTAACGAGGCTTCTTGACTTGTGATGTATAATTAGTTATGGATCAAATGCGTTTATAAACTATAAAAATTAAGGGTGTAGCTCGTACTCATTGACTCGTATAAGAGAGCTCGACTACATTAATTGATCGGTCTCTTTAATGTTAATTTTATCTACTCGGATACGCCTTTTATTAGAATTTAAGACTGGTATATAAAATTGAATCCATCAAAATCAATGCTATTTTTAAAGAGATCAAACCCAAAATACATACTAAAATCCTCTATATATATATATATATAGTCTTAAGAAGATAATCTGATAGCAGAAGAAATAAAATTGCAGATGAATCCAAATGGTTTTAGTGAACCAAATTCTGAGCTTCTTGGTCGGTGTAATTTATCTTCTTCCTCCTCATCCATTGGCGGCGGAGGCGGCGGCGGAAGCGGCGGCGAGGATGAGCAGGAGGATGTGGCGAAGTGCCTCATCCTTCTTTCTCATCAAGGCCTACCAGAAGGTCAAAATGGTAATTATAACATATATATATATATTTTTTTTTAAAAAAAATAAGAATTTAAAATTAAAAAAATAATAATGAGTGTATCTATTTAAATTGTAGGCGCGGGCAAGGCAACGGAGTGTTGTGCATACGAGTGCAAAACCTGCGGCCGAACATTCCCATCATTTCGAGCCCTAGGCGGCCATCGGTCTAGCCACAAGAACCCCGCCATGGCCGCCGGTGACCAGAAATCGATCTCCGGCACATCGCCGGCCTACAAACATCAACAACAGCGACTCAACAACACCATTTCAAGCCCTTTCGATCAGCTTCGTATGAACCGAACCGGTTATTATCACAAGACGCACGAGTGCTCCGTCTGTGGCTCCGACTTCACTTCCGTCCAGGCCCTCAGCGGCCACATGCGCCGCCACCACCGTGGCTGCGGCAGAGATTCCGGCGAAATTGTTCATCGTCGTCGTAATTTGTTGTGTTTGGAATTGGATCTCAATCTTCCAGCCGCTGAAGAGGATAAAAGAGATCAATCCGGCGTCGTTTCAATGGCCGCCATGGATCTGGTAAGCTCCCATTATCGAGAACATTGAGCATTTCTAGTTAACAAATTTAGGTTAATACAATTTCTAATAAATCCTTGAACCATCGATTAAATTAGAAACTATTATCCCATTAATTTTTGGTAGAAAATTAAATGAAGGAAATGTATTTATATTAATAAATAAACATTTACACTTAAAAAATTTATATTATTCATATTATATTTAAATCGATATGTTATATGTTTCATATTTTTTTCCGATATAATAAAAATGTTAATTTATGAATATATGGAAATATTAATAAAAATGTCGACATGGACATATAAAAATATTGATTTCCAACTTACAATCTTTTTTCTTTTAAAAAAATTACCAATAAATAATATTGTTTTTATTTAGTCAATTGTCTTCAATTGGCCTAAGTCTTCTTGTTTTATTTATTTATAAATTAAATATATTAATAGATTGATATTCATTTAGTTCATTTTGAAAATGTATTAACATAGTGAATTTTCTAGCTTGAAAATTATTATTATTATTTTGCTAATTTTAATAAAAACAATTTTACACTAATTAAAATTTAAAAATAAAATAGAATAAAAGGCAAAGTATATCGATAAAAAATGGTACTTTTTAACTTATATATATATTTATTTATTTATTATTTTTTAAATTACACTTGTATCCCTGACGTTTCTTTTCGCAACAATGGGGGAAGTAGAATCTCCAAGGGCATATTGGGGCGAATATTTTTTAAAATCACTTTGGCAAATAATTTTCAATAGTTTTGTATAAGAAAATAACATAATTAATTATATATAAGTGTAATTGTATCACATCTTAATTTAAAAATTGGAATAAAGGCAATTTAGGGAAGGTTTGACGTTAACCCTACGATTCCATTTCATCGGGTGGTAGAGATTGATCTGACGGATGCAATTACGTCATGGTAAACTTACCGAATTCGTCACGGACCACTGAAAGTAGTCCACGTGTAGATATCTGATTGCTCGCATTCAGTCCAAAGCGGTCCTACCACCAGCTATAACCGACGCGTTCACTTGGAAAGTGTGACAGACGGGTGATTTTAGGCTACATTAATTCCCGAACCTTCTTTATTAAGAGCGAAGGAGAACAAATAGTCTTTCATTTTGGCAATTGATCGATTTTATTTTTGCTCCTCCGTCTACCGATTTTTTCATCCATGTGAATCTGATTGATTGAAAATCAGAGGATTAATTCCTGAAGATAAATTTGGAAAAACTCGTCTTCAATCCTAGTTCCGTATTGCGCTTCAATTTTTTTGTTCGGAATTCGGTTAAACCCTAATCGATCTTTGATTGTCTGGTTGTTTTGCTTATGGGCCGTGATTCTACTACCTCTCTTGCTCCGGGGTTTCGATTTCACCCTACCGACGAGGAAATCGTGGGCTATTACCTTAGGCGCAAGGTTTCTGGCAAACCCATCCGTTTTGATCCTATCTCCGTCACTGAAATATATAAGTTGGAGCCTTGGGACCTTCCTGGTAAGATACCTTCGATTTCTCTTTTTGATTTGTGTATGTTTTGGTGTGAATTCATGTTATAGAGTCGTTATTTGCTGGGGATTTTATTTTTTCAGGGAAGTCGAAGCTGAAGAGCAGGGACTTGGAGTGGTACTTTTTTAGCCCTTTGGATAAGAAGTATGGTAATAGTTCGAGGACAAACAGAGCTACCGAGAAGGGGTACTGGAAAACGACTGGGAAGGACCGGCCGGTACGACATAACTCCCGAGTAGTTGGGATGAAGAAGACTCTTGTTTACCACAGCGGGCGGGCACCTCGCGGGGCTCGTAGCAATTGGGTGATGCACGAATACAGACTTACGGATGAGGGCTTGGAGAAAGCTGGGGTCGTGCAGGTGAGGATATTGTTTAAGAACAAAAATTCGTTTTCCTTGTTGGGGTTTTCTTGTGTTTGCTCGCTCGATCTTCCTCTGAGTTGTGACTGAATTGGTTGGCTATTGTGTTGAATGGGCAGGATGCTTTTGTGCTTTGTAGGGTATTTCAAAAGAGCGGTCCAGGCCCTAAAAATGGAGAACAATATGGAGCTCCATTTATCGAAGAGGAGTGGGAGGAGGATGAAGAGTTAACTCTGCCTGGCGAGGAAATTGTGGCCAATAAAGGGTCAGTTGATGTTAGTGGCGAGGAAATTGCTCAGGTTTGTGCTTGTTCTGATATTATGACCTTCTATCTGCTACTCAATTTAGCATCATTTTGGATGGACTTTCAATTTTCGAATTCTTGTGTTGCCTCAATGAAAAAGATATACTATAATCCGGTCACTAGTAAAGTCACACAGGATTATCTAAATCAGTCTTCTCTCACACACTGCTAATTGCTGCTTAGTTAGTTTGAAGTGTGCTCAAGATCTTCCTTAGGTTTTTCTTGTGAACTGTACAAGTAGAAAGTAGGATGATCCATTATTTGCTTATGGAATATGAAGCATGTGTAAATGAAAGGGTAAGGGTCAAGAATAACCACCTACGCGCTGGTAAACGAAAACCACTTAGGCAAACTGAAGCTTTGGATCACAAAATGCAAGACAACAAGGGTGGAAGCATGATTATGAACTAAATTTCCTTCTCAAAGCGTACTTTAAATCTATTAATGGCGAGTTGAAGAGTGCTTTGAGAGCAATCGTCTCAGTAAAACTTTTCTTTCTAGCAGTTATAGGAGGAATTTTCCACCCCAGGGGATGGCCTCATTGTTTATATATATATGAGAAATTTGGGGTATGGGATTTGAAACTCCAACCTCAAAAGATCACTTACAGCCAATTTCCGTTGAGCTATGTTCATATTGTCAACTTTAGGTGCTAAAAGTTGCAGTTATGATCTGTTGGAAAGTGTTTTTTATTTAACTAATTTATTCTGTCATGCTCTTATACATAGAACTTTCAAGGTAATTAAGATGTTTTTTTTTCTTTTTGGCAGCAGTATTTTGATGGAGAACTGCCATGTGAATGTACTCAACTTCCGTCGAACTGTCCTCAAGATGCTAGCAATCATGTTATGTTACCCAATGTGCTTGTTGAAAAGGATAATAAACCAGAAACATGTGCAAGCAAAACAGTTGAGCTACAGCAGAGCCACAGATTCTTTCAACCAGAGCAATACCAAATGGGAGCGAATTCTGAAAAGGACGAGGATATTGATTACTTACTTGATGAGCCTTACCCAAGTGTTCCTGATGATCTTGCCCTCAATGAGGAACTATTCCTAGAGGCGAATGATCTTTCAAATCCAGCTGAGTCCGATCCAACTGGTTTCGATCTGCTTAAAGAGTATCTTACATTCTTTGATGCAGATGATAACTTACATCTGGCTTTCGAACCGTCGGATATTTTGGGCGGTGAAGAACCTATTTCTGGTCAAGCAATTCCTGAAGAGGTAATTTTACCGTCCATGTAGTAGTACCGTTGAGAACTTGGGATTTCTAACATTGAATCTAACTTCAATAAAACCTTCAAGCAGGTCGAAAAAGAGTTCATGGCTACCAAACAAGCGTCCGTTGCTTCCATAAATGATGCATCCACTTCAAAGCCAAACCCTGAGGCTATTAAAACAGGTTCAAATAGAATTATCAACACAAAAATTTAAACATTATTATGTAGAATCAAGATGGTAGATACTTTTTCACAATTGACTCATAAAGGTTGTCTTGTTGTTCCAGATTCAAAATCACCATTCCTCAAACGTGCCAGTTACATGTTGGGCAACATCCCTGCTCCTCCAGCATTTGCTTCAGAGTACCCATCAAAGGATATGGTCATTCGGCTTAACTCATCAGCACAAACTTCCAGTCCAGCTCACGTGACTGCTCAAATGATCCGTGTAAGAAACTCGACACCAAGTGGCAAACTGTTGAGTTCCTTATATGGTAAGAATGCAGATGTCGACCTCATCCTGTCTTTTGCCCGACATAGACATCAAGGTGAAAGCGATGATATCGTCACCAAGTTGCCAATATTTGGTGCACAATCTCGGAAGAATAGGAACATGGGATCACGAGGCTTCTTGTTCTTTCTGCTTTTCTGGGTCCTAATCCTTTCAGTGAGCTTTAAAGTTGGGAGTTACATCTATACACATTGATACAGAATCAAACATTAGCTGTGGTACTGATTAAGGTGTTACTTGCTGCAAATCTCCCTATCAAGCAGCTCAGAACAGAAATCTTGCATAGTTTGTTACCACCACCGAAACGCTATTTAAACCGAGGTGGAATGGAACTTATTGCCCGACCGTGCCCCGTTCACCGGGGTTTGCCTTTTTGACTTTATATTCTTTTGTCTACAGAGCTGTTTTGGAGAAGGGATCATTCATACTGCATACATATATATTCACATGGATTATATTTGTCTTTCTTTTTGTTTATAGGGATATGAGAAGAGGGAATTGAAGATTTCATCATCTCCGAAGCTGATGTTTCTTAGAGATATGTTATCTTTTTTTATTAATTTATGTAAAATCTCACGTTAACCTTGAAAGAGGAATTGAAAAATACTCCAAATGAAGAACAGATGTTGCTAATTCGAACTACCAGAAATCATTACCATTAGCCAAATGAAGAATACTCCAACATGTCAATGAAGTACAGAGCAAAATCAAAGACAATCCAAAGAATGTGTGTAAGAACAAATGTTGAAAAAGAATACAAGTCTAACTACCTGTATAGTTTCCAAAAAAACGATATTCGAGTCAAATTTGTTGGATATCAAAGGTTGCCTCTGTTATGTGCCAACCTAAGAGAATGGTATCGAAAATTTTTGTTGCAACAAAATTGACCTTAATTGCACGGTGTCATGACGAAGGTGGTTGTCTTGCTGGTGTGGAACGATCGAACAGGATTCCAAGGACTAGTTGTTACCCCCGGCGATCCACCGCCACACTCCTCCAGGAGCTTGTTTCTCAACTGATGAAGCATCCTCCATATGTTTCTCCAGGGCAGATTTTTGTTCCCTCAGGAGTTGGACCTCATTCTCAATGGATTGCATCGATTCTAGCATCTTTTGTAACTCAGCTATTTGTGCCTGTTGGTCAGTCAGGAAAGAAAAAAACTCAGAAAATTATGGCTCAATTAAGGTCTTTTAATCAATATGATCATCAAACGACCAATTTTCGATCTATCGTCCCGGTGTGTCGGGAGACGGGGGGGGGGTAGTTTATTATGAAATACAACCTCCAATTTAAAGCATCTTGATCGTTCAGCTATTAATTGACCTTGTACTGACTGAAATTCCTGAGATAAAAAGTAAAAAATCATAGAGTTCGGAACCAAATGTGAAAACTATATCTCTAAACATACATTTTTTACCTCAACGTCTTACCTTAGACAGCTCTGCATGAGTGCTGTTTACTTCATCAATCTCTTGTTTAAGTTTAGAACTTTCTCCATGAACTTCAGAAAGTGTTAGTTCCAACTTGGCTTTCTCTTCTCTAAGGGCCTCAAGTTCAATAGTACCATTTGGTTGAGAATGCTTTTCTTCTCTTCCCTTAGAGACACCATCTTCTATTATTGCGAAGTCCAACTTTTCAGTCTTGGCCAAGGCATATGCAGCAGTAACAGATGCAGCCGCCGCTGCTGCTGCTGGTGATTGGAATATCTTAGGACGTGATGAGTCTCTTGGTTTGGGTCTCATGATAAAAACCTACAAGGACACATAATGGCACAAAAATAAGTAACAAGAACAAACTCTCGTACAGAAGGAGATTTATTAATTACCTAGAACATACCTCATTGTTATACTTTCCGTTGTAACCGCCAAAAGCAACCAGATATTTATCTTCATCAATTGTAGCCAAACTAATACTGATTCCCTATTTAAGAAATGCAGCGGTAAGTTAATCAAGATATATTACAGCTGCATCAAGGGAAATTTCAATTAAATTGACAAATTAAAAAAACATTATTTGAACTATCTTAAACTTCAAAAAAGAAAAAAAAAAAAAAAGAAAGCTTTTCACACTAAGAACATAAAAGAAAGAAAACTCTTTCCATATACATGTAATCATTAGACTATGATGACATTTCTTTTGGACCTCTTGAGATAAAAGTAAAATAAAAGCATCTCATGCTAAGAACATAAAAGAACGGAAACACTTCTTGAGTGTACATGTAATACATATATGTGATGACATTGTTTTAAGAATCAAAATATTATCTGATTGGAGATAGTAATGACTTCTTCCTGTCATATTTGCTAGGATATACACTTAAACTTCATAAAATTTCATTAAGACACTATATTAAATTACCAATCAACTCAAAACCTTAAGTTGATAGGTTATGATAAATTTAATTATATTAATACTTCAATGCTCCCCTTACTTGTGAGCTTGAAAATTTGTAGAAAGTTTAACAAGTAGAAATCAATATTAATTGGAGAGGAAATAACGTTACCTCCTACTTGATATCAAATTAAACCACAACTCAGCCTCAAAACTTATGTTGGTAGGTTCCAGTAAATTTAGTTATATCAATACTTCAGCATACTACATGAATTTTAGTTCTAAGATTACAACTTGTCTTCAGAGAAGTGGCATAATTGTCCAATCAAAGCTCCTTTCATAAAGATAACAAACTGTCCATCGGTAACAAAAACAAAAGTTTTCAAAATGCTTCTTGAGTCCTAGTTTCTCTCTGGTGCGTACTTAGTTGGACATCATTCCAACTTCCAGATAAGTACATTTTTCTATGGGGACAATAGTGGCATGTGTCTTCTTTCTTGGGACAAAAAGAAGTCACATATATTTCATGTTTAGCAGGAAATTAAAGGCATACAACAGTCACCAAGGAAACAGCAACGAAGGAGAAGAAAAAGGACCAAAAGACAGTTGCACATCACACACCAGGACCAATCAATGTGATTTCAAAGTTATCTCAAAATTAGTGTCCAGTGTTTGCAACCGAAGGATAAAGTTTCACATATGATATTGAAATTGAAAATTAATAGGGAAAAGTGTAGGCAAGAATGTACTCTGCAATCACCTCACTAGCAAGGGGTTCTCTTTGCTTTACGCTGGTCAAAGCTAGCCAAGAAAGCTTAGACATATTTAGCACAATTGTCTCTGGGCAACCTGAAAAGGAATGTCCACAAATTCATAATAATCTTTTAGTAATTTAATATATTGAAGTTTATATAACAATTTAAGAAACTCTAAATACCATTCTTATTATCACCACCACCGACTATATACCAGTTCTCGTCAATGGTTATACCAGCATGACCTGCCCTAGGAGTAGCCAAATCACCCTGTATTTGTGGCTGAGACCACTCCATCTGCAGCATACATAACAATATAATGCTTCTCATTATTTATTGCCCATCAGCATTCCCACTCCAACCCCCACTCATTTTCCTTCCATGGGAAAACTAATTTCTCAGGTCTCTTATTATAAAAATGAAAATTTACTTCGAATGGTTAAAGGGGAATAGAATAAGTGTTATTACAACCTCTGAACCATTAAAAATAAGGTACCATTAGTGAAGCTTTACAGTCTACCCAGGCAAAAGAAGGCAAAGAAAAGTCCATAAACCTATCAAAGGAAAATTTTATAGCAAATAAAAGGGAGGAGGGTGACACTATGCAAAAATTCTAGCAGAGGGGTGATTTTAGTTTCTAACATATGACAAGATCAAGTATTGAAGGCAGTGATGGATAGCCAGAAGAGATTCAATGTTAGTTATAAAGAAGAGGATAGTGACACTAGAGTCTGGCCATGGATGATTACAAATGGTTAAAAAAACAAAAAAAAGAGTCCCATGCCTCCAACAAAAAGGAGAATTGGATAGCTTGACCAAAAATGCGGAAGCCTAAAAACCTTGTGCTTGACCGGAGCACCAGCTTTCAGTTTTACAATAATCAAGCAAGCTTATTGGCCCAGCCATTAAAGTTGTTGATGCTCCAGCCCTCCAACCATGGACTTCAACGCAAAGCTAAAAGTAGAGTTTCCCTTATTATAGTTGACTCGTCAGTGTCCATAGGCGGTAGAGACATAAATTTGGAAATGAACCCTAATTTCTATGGCACAGAGTTAAAATCTGTGGCTCAAGAGACCTCATGTTCTTCTATTCCAGAACAATCATAATCACTCATTAAACAGATAATATCGTAACCACTACAAATGAAGAGATTCAATCCTTCTGAGGAGATCAACAATAACCAAGAATCACAAAACTTGAGTTCAAACATCAATACTGCAAAAAGTAACGCACCAACCACAGCAGTTGCAGACAACAAACATAACAAGACTAGTGTAGATTAACATGATTTCTATATAGGGCATTGCACTTTACAAGTATAGTACTTCATCTTCAAGTGTTGGTATAAAAATCCTAGTATCAATATTGTCATCAAATATTCTTTTTTTTTTTTTTTAATGGTAAACAAATTGACAGTTGGTAAGTTTGAATTGACAGACAAGCCAAGACAACAATGAGTTGAGTGATACATACAATCAGTTAAATGAGGAAAACATATGCATGCCAAAAGGGAGGAGAAGAGGAAATGCTCACAGTATGAAAATCCAGCACATGAAGATCACTAAAAAAGGATGAATGAGAACAACCGCCAAAAACTAGAAGGTAGTGGTCTGCATGCATTGCGGCTGTGTGATCAAATCTTGGAGCTGGCGGTGTCTGCCTATCAAAACCCAAGGAATGATGAAGCAGTCTCCCAATGTAGTCAAGTACGTGACCAAACAAGCAGAATTTGAATACTTACTTTGTCTCCACCAAATCCCAGGTTAACGTCTCTAAATCAAGAACGTGGATGTCATTTATAAGCCTCCTGCTACTGTCTTCTCCGCCGAACATTATGATTTTAGAACCAAAAAGAGTCGCTGAATGTCCAGCACAAGCAATCTGACATATTAAATGCTCCATAAGCAATATGATCAAGATCGTTTTGAGGGGCGAAGTATAAGCAAAACTTTTCTAAATATTAATACAGCGTAAGCATTGAATCAACATTAAAAAAATTGGTCAAATACCGGAACTTTTCCAGAAGTCTCCATAACACTCCATGTGTCTGTTTCTAGATCAATGCAATGAACTGCAAGGACTATAAAGAGAGAATATAGTTCCAGAATCCAATTAAGAAACATATTGCAGCATAGAAACACAACGTTATTCATTGTAGCGGAGCATTATGAAATATTATAAAGGGACAGTATTGTCACGTAGACAATAATGTAGTTCACAGAGCACAAACCCAAAGTTCTATCAGACGATCCTTTTAAATTTCCACCAAGCAGAATGAGTTTCTTATCCCATTTGACCTGCCAATTAAAATTAACCAAGCAGTCCTTCAGGTGACAAATGACATGAATCAACATAGGTATGGTATGGGGCATGTAATAACTGTACCAATAAGAACACCTTCGAATGCTTACCATACTATGCCCTGCAATGGGTGGAAAAGCCTCAACTAGGCCACCATTGCCTTCAGAATTCTCTACACCAGGATTCATTTGAAGTTTAAGAGCGGACCATGAAAAATTGGTAAGGTTCAAGACCTGTTTATAGAAAATGACATTCAGTCCAATGAACATGAACATAAACCTAAGTAGGCTACCACGTTTGATACCTGAACATCAGAGAGATATCGGCCATTACGGCTTCCACCGACAATGTACAGTTTCTGATCAACAACTGCTGCAGCATGCTATCGTAAATAGATGAAATCACCGAAATTAGCTAGCACAATCAAGATTGCCTCGAGAATCTACACCACGTCTAGCACACAAAGCAAAGAATTACCTACGCAATCCAACATCAAATCAAATAATTTACCTTATAACGAGCTGGCGGTCGAGAACCAGTCACCGGCAAAGTTACCCACTGATCATAGGCCAATCCCCAGCGCCAACTGTCGACATCCATTGCCTATCTGCAAATCATTCGAGGACACAAAATTCGTAATTGAAAACACAATTACTATGACTACACTAACGGAACTTGACAAAATTGCACCACAAAAACAGGATACGAGAAGTAAACAGGAAACATTCGAATCAGAGAGATACAATCGGATAATAAGAAGAAATCAAAGTACCTGAGGATGATTGGTGATGAATTACTGCTACCAGAAAAGTTGTAAGAGAATTATAGCCGGCGAGATTCACAAACAAATAAGAACGATTAACGACACAATGCGGAGATGACGATAATGCAGATCAAGCAAAAAACAAGAACAACATCGTCCGATCTGGTTCAGAATTCGGACAAATCCCGCTCTGAGTCCGCGAGAGAGAGAGAGAGAGAGAGGGGGGGGGGGGGGGGGG